TTGGTTATGAGCATGATCTATAGCTTATAGGTATCAGTGGATGATGTCGGGGTCTGTAAGAGAGGAAATGTGGGTGTGGGAAGGGTATACATATAATAGAAGGGTGTTAAACTAATTCCCATTGACCATTTTTTGCGTGCTTTTGAAGGAGAGTTTGGATGCTTGGAAGGGGAGAAATTCTATAGCTTTTGAGAGCAAAGAGATAGAATTGTATAGATTGAGAGATAGATTGTTGCATTATTTTGGGTTTATTTTGTTAGAACATGACATTATTATAAATGAAGATTTTGGGAATGTCATCTACATCTTAACTATATTGTTAATCTTTTATACATGAGCGGTATCCATTTTTTAGTACCTCATCAATAAATACTTCACACTTTTTATTTCAAAAAAAAAAAAAAATGTCTCCTGTGTTTGTTCTATGAAGATCTATGGCTTAGAAATCTTCCTGGTTAAATTTTCCCCTTGGCTTTATAATCTTTCTTCACATCATCATGATGTCATAAGTCATTTCCTTTATCAGAGTTGATGGGCAAACCTCTTGGAATTTATTATTCTTTCGAGATCTCTATGGTTGAGAATATAAGAGATGACTTCCTTGCCTAAAACTTATGCCTTTTTGTGCTTCTCTTTTACCTGATGGCAAACTGTGGATGTTGGAGTCTTCTAATTGGTTCTCTTGCAAATCTCCATTTTCTCATCTCAGTCATAATTCCTCTAGCTTCAATCATTCCTCTAGCCTTGATAAAATGTCCATTTTATTAAATAAGTAACTGATTATGTCTATTTAGATGATACTCGATAATAATTTCTGTTTAGTATCAAAATATGCTTTCTTAGGAAATTTAAAGAATTGATTGAAGAAAGAAAATGTTAATTTATAAAGATTTACATAACAAGTACATAAAAGTTAAATTAAATTATTATAATAATATTTATGACACAATCTTATACATAACATGTATAACAATGTAATATGTTGTTTTTAATTGATTTTACAATTAATTTATAGTAGGAAAAATATTATAAATTTAATTTTATAAAATAATTTAACACGCTTTGTACACATAAAACCTAGTCCCATGTGAAAGAATTGAGGGGAACACATATGTGAACATCCTAGCATTTCTCTCCAACTATAATACCCTTTGAAAGTTACGTAGGGAAGCTAATTTAGAAAATACCTTATCTGACAATACAAATTCAATAAGGGATACTACTTTTTATGAAAATATCCCACCTCTAACTGGAATATTCTCATGTGATGATATGTTCAGCTTATGGAGCGGCGAGGTTATGGAGAAGAGTATATAAGTCGCTACAAGATGATGACCAGGTCAGTACGCTTCTAAGAAACTAGATCTTACTTCCACCCCCCTCAACTTCATCTTTTCCAGTTTAAATCTATACAATCTTTGCCTTGAATGCTGAGTTTTTACATTCTCATTACAATTTGCTACCTATTATTTTTTGAGTCTTACAACACTTTGTCCTTTTGCAAAAGTTTAATGAGTTCTTTTTGCTTTTACAAGTCAAGTTTTACCATGTTGCCTCCATGTAAATTGTTTTGGTTTTTGTTTGTTATCATTATCAAGTATCCGCTATGATCTTTGAAGCATCTATTTATTATGGACAACTATGGCATCTTTTCTTTTCTGTTTTTTCCCTTCATTTCTTTAATTATTCTTTTGCTGTGTCAAAGGATGAGTAGATTGTAGATTAAGTCTCAATAGAAAGAGGACCTGTTGATCTTTTTTTGTTCTGCTAGAGTTGACCATTTTGGTAACAAGGACATGGGTTCTGGACTAGCTGATAAGTAAATTGCAACAACTATAGATAGAAATACCATCTTTTGATTTTTTTTAGTAATAAAAAGGATGGAAAGTGAGTATGAGGAATGAGGATATGGTGTTCTTATATAAGAAGAAACAAAATCCAAAGATATGACTGTTTTGGAGGCTTACAGGGTAACTAACGGGCACACGGTATGGTTAATTAATACTAAGAGGAATTTGAATGATTGGAAGGTTGAAGAGTTTGAAGACTTGATGTCTACTCTTGAATCTGTGCAGGTGTCGGATAGTGATGACCAGGTGGTATGGAATCTGGAAAAAAATGGAATATTTTCAGTCACTTCATATTATAAGTTCTTAAATGAGATGGGTGCTGAAAACAGAAGATTTTTCCCTGCTAAGCTGATTTGGAAGACTAAAATTCCTCCACGCATTGCTTTTTTTGCATGGGAGGCATGCTGGGAAAGAATCCTTACTTTGGACAGGTTGAAAAGTAAAGGCACGATTATTGTAAATTGTTTGCTACTGCTGTTTTAAGGCTGAAGAAACTTGCAATCATCTACTACTGTGGTGTCCTACTGTTTCTAACCTATGGTGCAGGATTTATGGGTGGTTAGGTATCAATTGGGTTATTTCGGGTTTGGTTGGGGGGAGATTTGGGCTTGGGATGGTTTATATGTAAAAAGAAACATTGCTAGCTTTATCCCTTTGACCGTTTTTTGGGTCAATTAGAAAGAGTAGAATAGAAAGGATTTTGATAGCATAGAGAGTAGTTTTAATATATTAATTGATAGATGGATACACTTGTTTGGGTCAATTGTGTTAGGTCATGACATCATTAGTGATGGAGATTTTGGGGATGTCATTGATGCTCTAACTTCATTGTAGAGGTTTTATACATGGGTGGTACTCCCCATTTTTGGTACCTTGTGAATAATACTTTACACTTTTTATTTCAAAAAAAAAAAGGAGAAACAAAATCAATACACAAATAAAAGAGGGAAAGATGGCTAGTTTAAATAGAAAAAAAAAAGAGATACCCTCCCATTCTCTTGCAGAATAGATAAAGGCGAATCCTGAAAAATTGTCATGTGTCCTTCCCTACTTTGAAGCCATATAAATCATCCTGTACCAAATGACTTTTTTTTTTTTTTAAATATGAATATGGTTAACTCGATGGTTTAAGAATTCTGGCATTGTGGTCCAGCAATAA